TTATGCTATGTCCGTGCACCTCCCCAGGTGATTGGGGTACTTGTGTTATGTCCGTGCATCTCCCCCAGGTGATCGGGGTACTTGTGTTATGTCCGTGCACCTCCCCAGGTGATCGGGGTACTTGTGTTATGTCCGTGCATCTCCCCCAGGTGATCGGGGTACTTGTGTTATGTCCGTGCACCTCCCCAGGTGATCGGGGTACTTGTGTTATGTCCGTGCATCTCCCCCAGGTGATCGGGGTATTGTGTTATGTCCATGTGTCTTGCCAGGTGATCAGGGTACTAGTTTTATGTCTGTGTATCTCCCCAGGTGACTGGGGTACTTGTGTTATGTCCGTGCATCTCCCCCAAGTGATCAGGATGCTTGTGCTATGTCCGTGCACCTCCCCAGGTGATCGGGGTACTTGTGTTATGTCCGTGCACCTCCCCAGGTGATCGGGGTACTTGTGTTATGTCCGTGCACCTCCCCAGGTGATCGGGGTACTTGTGTTATGTCCGTGCACCTCCCCAGGTGATCGGGGTACTTGTGCTATGTCCGTGCACCTCCCCAGGTGATCGGGGTACTTGTGTTATGTCCGTGCATCTCCCCAGGTGACCGGGGTACTTATGCTATGTCCGTGCACCTCCCCAGGTGATCGGGGTACTTGTGTTATGTCCGTGCACCTCCCCAGGTGATCGGGGTACTTGTGTTATGTCCGTGCATCTCCCCCAGGTGATCGGGGTACTTGTGTTATGTCCATGTGTCTTGCCAGGTGATCAGGGTACTAGTTTTATGTCTGTGTATCTCCCCAGGTGACTGGGGTACTTGTGTTATGTCCGTGCATCTCCCCCAAGTGATCAGGATGCTTGTGCTATGTCCGTGCACCTCCCCAGGTGACCGGGGTACTTATGCTATGTCCGTGCACCTCCCCAGGTGATCGGGGTACTTGTGTTATGTCCGTGCATCTCCCCCAGGTGATCGGGGTACTTGTGTTATGTCCGTGCACCTCCCCAGGTGATCGGGGTACTTGTGTTATCTGATGTACGGTACAGCAGCTGTGTGACCATTGATAAGTCACACAGCCTCTC